TGCAGCTCTATGCATTGCATTTGAAAATTGGCAGGTAACATATTTATGTTGACTGAAAATGGAGTTGCAAATATAGCCAAATATTGATTCTTTTTCCAGAAATCTATTGTCAAACTCTTGTATAAAATCAAAAAACAAGGCTGCATAGTTTTTGCTGTTTGCATGACTGTGTTTAGCCAGTGTATCAAAATGCATAAAATTGGATCTGCTCAGGTATTGATACCCCAAGGATTTGGAGAAGGTAGCCCTGGAGTTCTGGCCACTATGGAGGCGTAGGTAGAAACGGTCTACTTCCCACCACAACCAAAAGAAGGACAACATCAAGTTTAAAAACAAAAAAACCAGAACTGCCAGATATTCAAAGTTCATGGAAGTCCAACAACCAAGGAATTAAAGAAACATTCATCTGGACCTGTAAGAAGGGGCAGAGACAGGAGCCAAGGCAGGGAAGCTGCACAGACAAGGAGGTGGCTGGTGGACCAGTTGGTCCCACATTCATGGGCCAATAAGCTTGGAAGAACCATTGGGAAGCAGGACAGACCACAGAACCCAGGGTTTCAGCCTGGGAAACTGAAGACTCAGAACCTCTGGATGTAAAAGTCTGCGGGACTTGCAGCAGTGGGAGAAACTTGCAGGATCACAGGAAAGTCTGTGGGAGAAAAAGCTATTTTTTTCCCCTATAACATGGATCTAGTGGCACTTAATTGTCTTTAACAGCATTCAAAACAATTGTGTTAGACTGTATTGTGACAGCTGTCATACCAATGTGCATTTAAAAAAATCAAAATTGTGGATTTTCTGTAGCCATTTTAACATTAAACATGGAAGAAAATATGCAACATTTTTGGCATATTATGCTTTATTATTTCAAGAAAGGTGAAAATGCAACTGAAATGCAACAAGAAAGTTTGTGCAGTACATGGAGAAGGTGCTGTGACTGACCAAACAAGTCCAAGTGGTTTGTGAAGTTCCATGTTGGAGATTTCTCGCTGGACGATGCTCCATGGTTGGGTGGACCAGTTGAAGCAGACAGCAATCAAATCGAAACACTATTTGAGAACAATCAATTGTATACCATGCAGGAGATAGCTGACATACTCAAAATATCCAAATCAATAAAGTTATTGGTGAAAACAAAAATTGTCTCTTATATTTTACAGAAAAAATCATATGGAATTTTTGGTCAAGCCAATATTTAAAATCAAAGCAGAAAGTGTGAGAAGGGCACAGGAAACCCTTTGCTGGTACATTAGAGATGTGAGAGAAAACAAAGAAGGGAAATCTCTAAGGTTGGACAAGAAGCAAAGTGGAGAAACACATTTCTTTTGCATTGGTCGGTGGGTTCAAAGTACTCACCTTCCCTTACCCTTTCCTCTCCCACTCCCCCCTGTTCTCTCTCCCTCTCCCCCTTCCCCTTCTCCCATCCCACCCCTTCTCCCTCCCCCTCCCCCTCCATCACAGCAGCCAATTCTGGCAGGTGAAAGAGTGTGTATGCAAAGCGAACAGGTGAGTGTGATTTTCCGCAATTGGTTTACTTTGTATGGATAAGCTTATACACTGTTTCTAATTCTTATCATTTTAAACAAAATGCTCCATCAAATGCCTTCATTTATAGTGATTTAAGTATACCTGAGTATTTAATTCAGGTAGATTTGTAGAATTAGCTTACTTAATTAAAGATTTAGCAAAATTTACCTTGTGGTAGATGTTACGAAAATGCTTCTGTCACATTTTTAGGACAAATGCATAATCTTTCTATCGTATTTGATAACAAGTTTGACTTACATTTCTGCAAACACAGCGGGATCCGCAACTGCAATGCCAGGCCTGGGCAGGAGATTAAGGCCTGTGTCAGGACATTTGGTCACAGAGCGACCTGAAAAAAGGTGACTATAGATGTTTATTCTGTGGTGGTGAAAGAAAAAAAACTTACAGCACAGTTGTCTTGTAAAAGTATTTATTATTTAAACCTGGTTCATTGATTTGTGTTTTAATTTTAATTTTTCAATTACATTTATTTGTTTAATTTCTTCTTCAAAGCAATTTGTTAACTTTTTTATTGATTATGCCATTACATTTGTTCTATTCCCCCCCTCCATTCCCCTCCACCCTGCATACCCCTCCCCCACCATTTCCCCCTTTAGTTCATAAACATGTGTCTCAAATTCTTTAGATTCTGTATTTCCCCTACTATTCTTACCCTCCCCCTATCTATTTTCTATCTACTGTCTATGCTACTTATTTTCTGTACCTTCTCCCCCCTTCTCCTCCTCCCACTCCCCTGTTGCTAACCCTCCATATAATCTTCATTTCTATGGTTCCACTCCTATTCTAGCTGTCCTCTTAATTTGCTTTTGTTTTAGGTGTGGTTGTTAATAACTGTGAGTTTGCTGTCCTTTCACTGTTTATCTTTTTTATCTTCTTTTTCTTAGGTAAGTCCCTTTAGCATTTCATATAATAAGGGCTTGGTGATGATGAACTCCTTGAATTTGGTCTTATCTGAGAAGCACTTTATCTGTCCTTCCATTCTCAATGAAAACTTTGCTGGATAGAGCAATCTTGGTTGTAGGTCTTTGGTTTTCATGACTTGGAATACCTCTTTCCAGCCCCTTCTTGTCTGTAAGGTCTCTTTTGAGAAATCAGCTGACAGTCTGATGGGAATTCCTTTGTAGGTGACTGTCCCCTTAGCTCTTGCTGCTTCTAGGATTCTCTCCTTCATTTTAATCTTGGCTAATGTAATGATGATGTGCCTTTGTGTGTTTCTTTTGGGTCCAACTTCTTTGGGACTCTCTGAGCTTCCTGGATTTCCTGGAAGTCTATTTCCTCTGCCAGAATGGGGAAGTTCTCTTTTATTATTTGTTAAAATAAGGTTTCCACTTGTGACTCTTCCCCTTCTGGTACCCCTATAATCCGAATGTTGGAACGTTTAAAGATGTCCTGGAGGTTCCTAAGCTTCTCCTCATTTTTTTGAATTCTTGTTTCTTCATTCTTTTGTGTTTGATCATTTTTTTCTTGCTTCTGCTCGACTCCCTTGGTTTGAGTCCCAATTTCCTTTCCATCACTATTGGTTTCCTGTGCATTTCCCTTCATTTCACTTAGTGTAGCCTTCATATGTTCCTCCAATTTGTGACTAAAATCAACCAGTTCTGTGAGCATCCTGATCACCAGTGTTTTGAACTGTGCATCTGATAGGTTGGCAATTTCTTCTTTGCTTAGATTTATCAGCTGTGGGGCTCTAGTTGTTCTTGAGCCATGTTTTGATCTGTTTGTGCCTGTTACATATGAGGAGCAGAACCTTAGGTGTTCACCAGGCCGGGGCCACCCAGGTCGCTGGTTTGTGACACTGCGTGTGGGGGCGTGGTCAGAGAGGGAGCAATGGCCGTCCTCTCTGCTAGCCCAGTCCGTCCAGTCCCACCATTCGCCCGGGGCCTGTTTATCCGATCAAAATTGTGCGAGCCTGCTCCCCTCTTCACTGGTTTATCTGCATGCAGATGCGCGACCGACTGCAGACAGCCCGCTGCGCCTCTTCCCTGTGTGCTCCCGTAGCTAGCCTGCGATCTGTGCTTTCGGCTGCTTGCGCACCACCCGTTCAGGGATTTTTTTTGCCAACCTGCTCCGCTGCTGGCTTCGCTCCTCTTACCGGTTTAGCTGAGCATTTCGTTGTCTTTGGACTCCGTATTGTCGATTTTCTGTGTGGCTTGGTTGTGTTTTTGTTGTTAAAAATGGTTGTTCTTAGATTTGGTTGCGCACGGAAGCAAGGTGGTTCCACCTACACCTCCATCTTGGCCTCTTCAAAGCAATTTAAAAGGAGAGGATCTGCAATTAGCACAGAAGATTCACAAGTGATTTAAATTATCCATTGGGAAGCTGAAACTGTTGGTAATTTTGAGAGCATAGTCATTTTAACATTTTTCCCATTCAAGGATTTCATTTTTCTTGTGGGTCATTTCTTTGATGTGGTGAAATATACATGAAATGCTTTATCTTGCCTGATTGTTCTGCCCGAAACTCAGTACTGTGCTGAGTAAGAATGGCGAGAGCGGGCAGTCTCGTCTCCTTCCTGATCTTACTTAGAGCCCCTCTCAGGCTCTTACCACCCAAGTTCTCAGCTGTGGGCCTGTGGTAGACAGGCTTTATTATGTTTGGACGTGCTCACTCTGTGCCTAATTCGTTGTGAGTTCTAATCATGAAAGGATGGTGAATTTTATCAAGTGGTTTTATTGCATCTCTTGGGGTAATCATATGGTTTGTGTCTTTTGTTATTATGGGATAGTGTGTTTATTGATTTAGATGTGTTGACCATTCTTACATTCCAGGAATAAACCCCACCTGGTCAGAGTGCACAATCTCTTCCATGTGCTACTGAGGTTACTATGCTAGTGCTCTGCTGAGGATTTTTGCCTCCATGTTCATCAAAAATATTTGTCTGTACTTTTATGTTCTTGTAGTGTCTTTATCTGGCTTTAGTATCAAGGTAATGCTGGCCTCATGCAATGCCTTTGGGAGTATTTACTGTTTAGGGTTATTTTAAAGATTTTTATAAACATTGATGTTAATTATTCTTAAATATTTGGTAGAATTCACCAGTGAAACCATCTGGTACTGGGGTTGTTATTGTTTGGTGCTTTCTTAATTACTGTTTTAAGCACTTTACTTGTTATAGATCTGTTCACATTTTCTTTTTTTAAGATTTTATTTATTTATTTTTCAATAGAGGGGAAGGGAGAGAAAAAAGGAAGAGAAACACCCATGTGTGGTTGCCTCTCACACGCCCCCTACTGGGGACCTGACCCACAACCCAGGCATGTGCCCTGCCTAGGAATCCAACCTGCAACACTTTGGTTCACAGGCCAGCACTCAACCCACTGAGCCACACCAGCCAGGGCCACATTTTCTATTCCTCTATTACGAGGTTTTTCTAGGTTGCATGTTTCTAAAAATGTATTCATTTTATCTAAGTTAAAGTTCAGATTAATATGCTTTATATGAGAAAACAGGGTCTAGTTGGATGGGGCAAGTAGCTTCTTCAGGGCCACCTGCATGTCCTTGTTCCTCAGACAGTAGACGAGGGGGTTCAGGCTGGGGGTTATGACGGAGTAAAACACAGACAGCAGTCGTCCTTGAATGGGAGAGTCTTGAGAAGTAGGACTCAGGTAAGCAATGTTCCCAGTGATGTAGAAGAGAGTGACTGTAGTGAGATGAGAGGAGCAGGTGGAGAAGGCCTTCCCACGGCCCCCTGCAGAGTGGATCTGAGTGATGGTGGAGATGATGACCACGTAGGAGGCCATGGTGAGCCCAAAGGCACTGACAACGATGCACCCGCCCACTGCAAATCCCACCTCCTCGTGGGTGCGGAAGTCACTGCAGGAGAGCCTCATTACGGGGGAGCTTTCACAGAAAAAGTGGTCAACCACGTTGGGCCCACAGAACGGGAGGGAGAAGGTGTTGGTGGTGTGGAAGACAGAGTAGAGAGCTCCGCTCAACCAGGCCACGGCCACGAGCTCCACACACAGCTTTCTGCTCATGATGACGCCATAGAGGAGAGGCCTGTGGATGGCTAGGCAGCGGTCGTAGGCCATGGACGTGAGCAAGAAGCACTCAGAAGCACACAGCATGAGAAACAAAAAGAGCTGAGCCACACACTCCCAGAAGGAGATGACATTGGAACCCATGAGTGAATTGGCCAGGGCCTTGGGGATGGTGACTGAGGTGTAGCACATGTCCAGGAAGGACAGATTCTGCAGGAAGAAGTACATGGGGGTGTGGAGGCGGCTGTCTCGGGTCACAGCTGCGATGATGCACATGTTCCCGAGGAGGGAGAAGAGGTAGATGAAGAGGAAAACCAGGGAGCTCACGAGCCTCAGCTCAGGGGTGTCTGAGAAGCCCGTGAGAATGAACTCAGTCACACTGGTCTTGTTCCTCATACCCCTTTCAAGTCAGAGGGAGAGAGAGAGAAGGGACAGTCAGGAGAGTTGTGGTCTTTGTGACAGTGCAAAAGACACGATCGCAGAGTGGACCAGAGAGGTGGCCGCAGTGAACCGGGTCCTCGCCACCAAAGTTCATGAGTCCACTCCCTCCTCTTTCTGCTCCTGCTGCTTCTCTGTGAAGTCTAAGCAATAACCAATTCTAAATAAATGAAAGAGGAAAAAAATTGTATTTATTAAGATACTGGTTATATGCATGCATCTTTAAATAACAAGGTTTGAAAGGATTTACATTTCTTTTTTTTTTTAAGATTTTATTTATTTATTTTTAGAGAGAGGGGAAGGGAAGGAGAAAGACAGGGAGAGAAAGAAACATCAATGTGGTTGCCTCTCACACACCCCCCACTGGGGACCTGGCCCACAACCCAGGCACTGCCCTGCCTGGGAATCGAACCTTTGGTTCTCAAGCCCACACTCAATCCATTGAGCTACGCCAGCCAGGCTGATTTACATTTTTTAATTACAAGATGAAATAGTCTCATTCCCCCATTAATTTCCCTCTTAACAACGGCTGCCTTCACTGCAGTAGGTACACAGAGTTCATAAACAGAGGGTGAACCAGGGGAATGGCAGTGACAAGAAAGCTTGCAGAGGCTGAGCAGATAACCTGAGTGTCTGAGCAGGTCAGGAGCAGGCGGTTATGGGGTCAGTTCTAGGTATTGTGGTGTCAAATCTTCAACTTTTTTTTCAGTAGAAATAAATGCTCTAATTTCAGCACAAATGTCCAATGAGAACAATGGGGCCCTGGCCCCTGGCCCCGGGGCCACTGTGACAAGCAGGACTGCATTTAGTCCCCGAGGCATCCCCTGCAGGAGAAGAATTGCTCAGCTGGGGTCTGGAAAGTTACAATAATGCAAGTTTTTCTGGGGAGGCACGTGAGACTGTGCCGTGAACACGGGCAGGCAGGGGACCTTGTCTTGGACCCGCCAGGACCGAGCCAGCCTTTGCCAACGGGCAGCCCCAAAGTTGCTGGGGGCTCCTCACTCACCCTCCTCCTGGGCAGCAGCAGTGGGACCCTCACAGGACTTAGCACTGTATGGAGCGAAGGGCTCCAGTCTGAGGATGGCAGTCCATGGGCCCCTAAGACTCGAAGAAAGGGAAATCATTCCTCCCTATTTGGAGATGATGTAAC